TGTGTTATTATCTGTGAATACACATAGCATTTAGTCATATGTACTTCTGTGCATTGTGTGACTGTCTTAAAATAATCTCAATCTGTTTAGAATCGGAGCAATTTAAGGTCAGTTTCCAGTGAAGATGGGACGGCCTATTTTATAGATCTATACATTTGGTAAGGCTCATCTCAGTTGACTATCAGATTTGATGCTTTCAGCAGAACTTCAGAGTTCATAGTCTTGTGAAAATATTTATTTAATTATTTAGAACAGATGCAGTACCTTTAAATCAGAGGACAGTGTTTTGGAGCATGTTTACCAGGAAGTTTGTGACTGAGGTGATATCATGGCGTGTGTTATCTTATGTCTACACAGAGAAAGATTTCGGCTCTATTGTAACACTGTGTACAGAGAGATTGATAGTTTATTGGTTTTATGATATCAGAGCGGACTTTTGATACGGGATAAGTTTCATTGTGTGTCTGTTGTTCATGTGTGTGCGTATGTATAAGTATTTACATGCATGCGTTTATATTTATGGGAATCCCCAGAGTGTGCGTGCATGCACATTAAAAGAGCGTGTGTATGTATGTGTGTGTGTGCATGCACCTTCACAGGTTAAGAATGTGTGTATGCACATTTAAGGGTTAATAGAATATGAGTTTAGTTGGAATGTTTATACTATAGATATAGGCAATTTACAGACAAGTTATAATCCAGACTTCGACTATCAGTCAGTTATACATAAGATTCCATTTATAGGCCTGGCTGAGTGAATTATTGACTTAAATTGCTAAAGATTATTGTACTATGTTCATAGGCATGGGAAGTCCGGGCCTCTTCCCTTTCTTTAAATTTGTATTCATGAGTGTTTGTATGAACATATAAAAAGGTTAAAATGCAAAATTATTTTTCATCTCACATTATGCCAAAATTAGGTTTACAAATAAGTGCCAGTAGGCATAATCTGCATGGGGTCATTGGAGTAGAAATCACATTGAGAACAGGATGTGGGGGAAAAATATAAGCACTGGCTCCTTTCTATGCCTGATTTACACATAGAAGTGTCAGAATTAAGTCCTAAAGGGTATTTCCTGAGGTCATTTGTGGTTATTTATGATAGTCCAAGTGCTCTTGCTTGGCACCTGTATTTATATGGGGAGGTTGCATTAATCGTTGATTAAAATATGACTTTTATGATGTCTGGAACATTTTTTTTTTTTTTTTTTTTTT